TACCCTTAGTCCTTCTTTTGGTACAGTTTTGATACCATTGTCTTCGTTTTGCTTCCGCTAAGTCTCAAATTTCCTCAAAGGGCCATTCTTGTGTCCTAGGGATAACGTACATCTCTATGGACTTGTTTTTATTTTGCTTCCGCATTCTGGATCCGCTTTGGGTCATCACAAGACACACTGGGTTGAAAAATCTTGGGTCGTCACAATTTTAGTCCATTCATCTATCTTTATTTTTCCGTTTTAATACTTATTTGTGTTTTTATCTATTTCAAGTCAATAAGATTCAAACGGGCTAAAAATTGTGTATTACAACCTTTTTGGAGTCAAGTAAAGGTTCCTAGAAGATTTCAGAAAATCTGGGAAAATGTCAAAAATGCTGAAAATTTGGATGGATCGAACACTGTTCACTTCGATCAATCGAAAACGTGCTGGTAGCGAGCTATTTTATTCCCACACGCCTGATTTCTACCTACCACATAGTTGCGGGATTAGATATTTTTTGGACTGTATTTCTGACTTAGTGACTAAGAAAAGGATCTTATATTTAAAGGGAATTGAACCATTTTTGTAAGGAATCATATCTTTAGTTTTCAATTTTATTTTATTGTAATTTTATTTTCTCTCAAGAAAAGTTAGAGATTAGGGTTAGAAAAAAAGAGAAGAGTGGAGGCACCAAGAACACATCTCAACATCTACACACTCTCTCTCTCTCTAGAATTCAACAAAGAAGAAGAGGAAGAAGATGGAGCCATGTTTGAGGATTGCCCTTGAGGGTTCCAAGATCACACCCACCTCCTCCATGATTGGCTAGACTTCTCCTTGGGGCTTGGATGAGTCCCAAGTTTGTAATCTAAACCTCTATCTTTTTCATAATTTTTGGGAAATAATATCTTATGATTAATGTTCTAGCCTTGTGAATTTAATGAATCTTGGTATATTTCTATGATTTCTATGGTTTAATTGTTCTTGTTAATTCTTTAGTTTATTTACATGTCTATGCATGAGTAAATTGGGAATTATATCTCACATGATTTATATGGTTTAATTCTTCCTATTGATTCTCTTTGTGATTACATATTGTCTTATGTATGATTATTTGGGAATTGATCTCTACACTAGTTTTTCTATATTGATTGCATATCTATGTGTGGTTGATTGAGAATCTAGTGATGGCTAGACATGGTTTTTATTAGATGGGTTTTGTCAATTAATTTGATGGATTATTCTTATACTTGATGGGTTGTTCTACAATTTAATTCATATTTGTAAGTAGGTAGACAATCTATACTTGATTTAATATTCCATTGCTTATTATTGCAAATTTCATGATTCTCTAAATTGATGTGTGTTATAATTGTGACTAATTTGATGGGTCATTTTTAGAATTGATGAGTTGTGCTACACTTAGTTTATTTGTCGGTTAGGTAGACAATTCATTCTTTAATTTGATGGTCCATGCTTAATATTGCAATTGTAGTCTCATTTTGTTCACAAGAAGGTTTTCCCAAATTAGTTGAAAGTGTGTGGTTTGGTGAACAAGCTTGGTGGCAATTCCAATGCACCCCAAGACCTCATTTCTCATCTCTTAAATCTCTATCTCAACTTAGTGAATTTTAATTTCATTTTGATTAATTAAATTTTAGTTTAATCAAACAATCAATCTCTCTTTGCAATCTTTTGATACATTAGAGTCGAAGCTAAATTCCAACACGTATAATCCCTTGGGACGATCCCTATTCACTATTGCTACGTTAGTAGTAGTGGTTTTTATAAATTTAAACTTGGCCAAAAAGACTTTTCTTAAACCGCACATTCACTACATTATTTTGGCGTATACAAGCGGCCTCGTCATCAGTTCATCAATTAAAATCCTGAATAGATAGGAATTAGCGTTTTGGTCTAATCCGTACATAATATGTCACCGTCCCATACCGGTGCATACACTCCACAAAATCCATATAATTGACAAAATAGGAATAACTAGTTCATCAATTAAAATCCAAAACAATATCCATTAACAGAACATCATTTAATAGTTCATCAATTAAAATCCAAAACAAAATTCATGTAATTGACAATTTAAGCAATTAATTTAAACTTCAATTAATCCATAAGGCAGTCCAATAATTGATAAAACAGAAAATAGTAGTGCATCAATTATAATCCAAGGAATGATATAATATAAATCAGACATCTAACTGCGCATATTTTATTCAATTATACTTAAGTATAATCACACTAATCCATTTAACTTGCTAGAACTACAACAAGCATTTAAGTATTTAACATTCACTGACAACATGCAAATAAATAATTAAATTTTATGATGTCCAGTAATATTAGCATATTAGCATATACTAACTGTTTTAGGATTTTAACAAGTTGATTTAAATCATTTAAAACCTCCCTTTAAAACCCAGAATTCCATTTCAGCCCCTAAAGTTCAAAAAAACACAAAAAATACACTTACTGATTTATTTAAACAAGAGAGCCGGCTCTCCCAAAGAAGGAGCTGGCTTTCCCCCTCATGGAGCCGGTTCTCCCCCATGGAGAGCAGGCTCTCTCACTTAAAGAGCCGGCTCCCTCCTTTAGGGAGTCGGTTCTCTCTCCCACAAAGAGCCGTAAACTGTTCTGGTTCGTCTTCTTCACCTCTGACGACATTTCAAAACCATCTGTAATGTTTAGTACTTTTCCTAAGGTTCAATTTAAGTCCCAAAGTCACCCAGAAAACATATAAACTCCAGTGTACATCATTAACAGAAATCTAGAATACATATGAGAAAAAAAATAATTGTTACGAAGAATCAATTTAAATTTACAACACATATACAGTTTAATTCTGATTTAATAAGCATACAAGATTAATTTAATGTTTAATTAAAATCCTAGAGATCATCTAGGCATGCACAGAACACAAGTCAATGGGAAAGAGCAAGAAATAGAACTTGCCTTTTAAAGTTTCGATTTGAAACCTTTAACCGTCCTCTGCCTAAACTTTTCGGCGACCTCTGATTGTCGTCAACTCCTTTGTTGCCCTAGGTCCAACCCACAAGCAAGCCTCAATAGCCTCTCCTTGGTTCAGCCCCTTGTTCCTAGCCAAAACCCTAATTCTTCCCCTCAGTTTTCTCTCAAACCTCTCTGTAATTCTCTCTGCCTCCACTGCTCCGTGAATAGGGTTCTAAACCCTTGGCAGATACATAAGGTTATATTTATATAGTCTTATCAAAACCCTAAACCTAATTATATGAGGAGATGGAAAAGAAAAGAAAAGACAAGAAAATATAAAATAAATATTTATATAAGTCGGCTATCCCACAACGTGCTTTTATAATTTATATATAAAACCTTAAATTATATTATACATATTTAATGAATAATGATACTAATGTAATCATTAATAATAATTAATAATTAAATTAACCCTGTATACATATATACCCACATATATATGTATAACCATCCATGGGTATTATTCGTACCCATTACACCTCCTATCTAAATAGTCCATGAGACCCCAGTGAGTGGTCCATTATTACTATCCAAATCCATCCTTTTAAAACATAAAATAAAATATAAACACCTAAAAATCAAATAACAAATAATTTCATTCAACACTTAATATAACAAAACATTTAAGCACACATATACAATTAAACAAATAAGTCAATTAAACATAAACATGAAACCATATAAACACATATTCACATAAACACCTAAAATACAATAATTAAATTTCAATTATATCCTTTTTAAAATTAGGGGTATTATAACTCGATCCTTAAAGAAAGTTGTCAATCCAAAGGAAAGAGTCACAGAAACTATTTTCGAGCATTCAAGACACGAAGAGGAGATCGGATTAAAGAACCATCAGGTGAAAAGGAAGTTCATCTATGCCCTTTATGGATAGAGGAATGTATCTGACTATATTTTAATGAACTCATATGGCTTAGTAGATGGATTCTGCCTTTGATCACTTCTACTTCTGAACAAATGTCAATTGGCAACAGCATTACCGCAGTCCTTTGCGACAAGTATAATGGGAATCATTTTGAGAAAGGTAATACACACACACACACACACACACATATATTCTTACAAGTATGATATATATATATATATATATATATATATAAATAATACACATATGGAACCATTCTGAGAAGGGTATTTTAGGGATTTTAGTAAAATATGTAGCTAACGTCATTATTTTTCATCGTTGACTCTAACAGAAGGGAGGTCCGTGTAGGATATTTTCAAAAGTAGGGGAGGTTTGCGTAATTTCCGAAACAGTAAGGGTGGTCCCTGTAATTAGGGCAAACTATAAGAGAGGTCGGTGTAAATTACCTTTAGTAAAATAGGAACCAGTCACTCCTTTTATGTGAAAAAATTATTTTGGTGTGTTTTGTGCAAACACGTTCTGGGAAAAAATAGTCCATTGTGAGTGAGAATCCTACGAAATTTTTTCATTTTCACTCTAATTAAACTCTTAACAAATTTAATTTTTTTTATTTTTTATTTTTTATTATTATTATTTTTAACTACTTCACACCAACCAAACGAACCTTAACAAATTTAATTTTTTCCTTTTTTATTTATTTATTAATTTTTTAACTACTTCACGCTCATCAAACGAACCTTACATAAATTCTATGTTTTACCGTAACTTTACTTAATCAACTTGTTATCATATCTGTCTTTAGGAACCCTACCTAATGTAATTTCAGTCATTCCCTTCATTTAATATATCACTCTCGATTTAAACTATGTCAATTTTTGGAAGAACTTAAATATATTCATTTCAGATATTCAAACCATTTTAACTTATTTTATCACTAATTAGTGCTATTCCAACCATCTCCCAATCATGTTTAATTCTATCATTTTTAGTTTTATAGGCATTCATCTCAAATTTACTATTGTTGCCAAAAGCCATTCTATATATTATGACATTGTTTTTAGTTGATGGGACTTGCGGGAAGATAAGTTTAAATAAAATTGAATATACTGATAATTTATGGTATCAAGTATTGGGTAAATCAAGAAACAATATTTATATAAAGTGTGCGTCATAAATGAAAATTAGAAATACCAAACACCCTCTAAATTAAAGAAACATATATAAAAATAAGGAAAATAAATTTGTCATATAATATATACTCCTGCGAAAGAAAAGAAGAGTAAAAAAAAAAAAACTACCACCACAGCCGCCGCCACCGGCTTTCGGATGCAACCGCCCTCCGCCGTCCCCCGTCGTACCACCATTACTGTTTCATCCTGTTTGTCATCTCAGGTATTCTTCTACTTCTTGCCTAATCATAACCAAAGGCGGTCTCTCTCTCTCTTCATTTGCGTGATTTATTGATTCATAAATAACTTGTTTGAGTAACTGGTTTTGAATAATTAAAGATCTGTCCCCAATTCCCTTTACCTTTTTGCTTGGATAACAAAGCCCTGTTTGGTTCCTGGGAAAATTTAAATCATAGTATATTCTCACTTGAGAAGAGCCTATTAAAATGGGTTGCCTTAGTGGAATAGAGTTATAACCATAAAACCTTTGTTTTCACCCGTTATTATCAGCAACCAGACGAGGGTAATGTAGATACAGTACTATAACTGTTTGATTTATTTATTTAATTATTAGAACCTGAATTAAGATGCATTTCCTTTATCTGATTGATTTGGATATTTTGTTTGATTGTTTAGTACCTTTAATAACGAAATAAGAAGTGGTGTAACAATTAAAATTTTGTTCCAAGGAAGTAAAATGTTGTTCCTTTGTGATTTTGACTTACATTTTTGAAGTTAAACTTGTTCTTGATGTACCTGTGATAATAAACTAGTTTGAATTGGGAGAAAACTCAAATAAACAGCAATGCTACCGATTGGTAAAAGCCCTTGTATAAGGGGACATTTCCCAGTTCTGGTCCCGCCAGAGCAGAATCCTATGAGTTAAAGACTCAAGATAGACCTAACTTTGATATTTTGAAGTGACTGCTTGGAGTTTTGAACTTGTGCCAGTGATAAAAGTTGTTTTTATACTTGGTATACTATCGAGTTATGTAGAATAGTAATCTCCTAGTAAAACTTGAGAGTGACCAAGTTTTTATTGATTAATCTTCATCTACAATCCTTCTCGTTGAAGGTGTAGGCTGCAAGATAATATTTTTTTAATATCTTTTATATTTCTTCCTTCCTCGAAACGATATATGCATGCCTTTAATCACAATCGAGCTAGATCTACCCTCCAAATCTCGACATTCACAAGATTTGAGCTACGAAGCACATATACGGATACGGCACACGGATACGACACGATAGGTACACGATACAGTAGTGACATGTCAAAAAATAATAATATAATATATTATTATATGTATAAAAATAATCATGAATGAAATCACTAATTTGGAGCTTAGAACTACATGTTTGGTTTTTGTTTTTAATTTTATATTATTATTTTTAATTAGCCCACATTATATGTTAAACTGCATCGAATCCCATTCGTCTAAGAAAAATAATTACAACATCTCCCGTCGTGTCTTGAAAGTATCTCAGTTGTGTCCCATCCGTTTCCAATTTCAGGACACTTCTAACTGTGTTCGACATGTGTCAGACTGTGTCCCGCACACGTCTGATGCCACCACAACACCCCTATGCGAAATGTCCATGCTTCCCAGTCTTTGAGCCCCAAAGTCTTAAATTAAAATATTCCGGTACACAATTTTTATTTTTTATTTTATGTTATTTATCTCAAGTAAAAATAGTGTTTAACATGTATCAGAAACTTTGGTTGGTTAATATTTACACAGATCTTGTTTCTCTTGTGTATCACATTGATATGCTAGACCATTCTTAACGTGTTTTATTTGGTACCATTTCATTCGTGGCTATAAATTTAAGTTAAAAGCATAAACTAGCAAGCTTTTACTGCATGTAACGACTAATAGTTCAATGTATCGGTCAATTTTCATATTAAATTACATTAAATCACCAAATATCCATCAAAATCCTTCATTAAAAGCATTTATTTATTGGATTATAGATTTAAAGTTGCATATTGGTGCATTATAGGTCAAGTTGTGTGGGGTTGAGAAAATTTTTATGATTGTGATGGCCGCAGTTGGTACCTTACTCATGCTATACCCTGTTGCATCGAGGATTCGAAGCCTTGCTTCAAGTAGTCACATATAGAGACTTAATCCTATATTGACCATGAACTTAATGCTATTTTGGCCATGGATAAGACAAATCCATAAACCAGTATTACAGCCATGGTTTGGAAATTTAGAATGGTCAAAATACCCTTTACTCCTAAAATCCTATAGAAGATTATAAAATTATTCCAATAGCATGTTATTCTAGAAGGTAAATAAATTAACACTTGCTTCGGTAAAGATCATTACTCTTGTGAATTTCATCAGGGCAAATAGGACGGCCCACAATAATATTATTGGCTGGCAATACTGTTATGCTAGCTTCATTTTTATATCTTGGATAGTGGTGGTTGTTACAAGTCTTTGAAGTTGGTATAAACTTTTTGGTGATTGTCTGGTGGCGGCGGCAATGGTGTCATGGTGGAAGAGGTTGATGCTGGTGATAGTGTTGATGTTTATTGAGGGTATTGAAAATGGATAGAAAGGTCATCATGGTGGTAGTAGTGGGAATGGTGGGTGGTCTTGGTACATGTGTTGGTGGCAGATGTGGGTTGGTGTGGGAGGTTGGGCTGCGGCTATAACAAAAGCAGTGGTCATGTTGCTCCAAGTGGTAGTGACAATTACTATTTTGGGCTGGGATGCTTGGCCATCAGGACATGCTAATGATATCTCTCACTGCAATCTTTTTTCTTATTCATTGTATAACTAGTAGTCGTATTTAGGTAAAATTTTGATTCCAAACCAAAGACAGCAGCCGAAACGCAAGCATTTGTATTTAGGGCTCAAATCCCACCCCTAACCACTTGCAATTCCTTGAACCAAACACAACTTTGGGCGAAAATTAACTAGAATATCAAATACTCTGTCCATTTGTTTCTTTTATTTTCTTTGTTTTCTTCCTTTTCTTTTTTTCCTTTTATCTTATTGTCCATGTTTGAAGTGCAGTGGGTCAAGCTCTAATTGGTTTACAAGATGCTTGGGGGTTAGCAAGGGGCTTGTGCTGCTAGGAGAACCAAACATGCCTTGAAAGATGAGCCCCTGTGCCTAACAGGGTACATTAAAGGAGTGGAATAGATCTACTATCGAGGAAGTGAAGTTGGTAATTTCTAAACTAAAGCATCTGATGCTGAACTCCCTTCATTTTTGGTTTTTAGGGTCACTCCCTAATTCTTCAAATTCTCTTGTAGATTTTATAGGTCAAATGGATTTTTTGGCAGGACTTTAACTTTAGGCTTTGATACCTTGTTTGCACATGGGTAACACCTCCTCTTCTTTTAATATACCTTTACTAATGGAAAGAGCATGTTTTTTTAAGAACAAATATAATTGTGGCCAAAACATTAATCATGATGATAAAACTCTTATCAGATTCTATTGTTGTTGTTGGGGATAAGTTACTGTTTTTGTATGTTTACTCAGGAATGTTTCATACGGTATACCAGACACGGAGTTACAATGCTAAAGAGAAGGTGAAATACATGATATGGACCAATGAAATGGACCACTGTTTCTCCAAGATACTTGTAGAGCATGTAAAAAAGGGAAATCAATTAGATAACACTATAAAGCCTGCAACATATGCAGCCGCACTAGCAATTTGGAACAAAAAATTCGGACTTGAGATGACCTCAAGAATCGGCTGAAGACATGGAGGAAGCAGTATGGGGTTTTGAACGACATTGTTGCTCAAAAGGGATTTACATGGGACGAGGCACAAAAGATGGTTGTTGCGGATGATGCTATTTGGAATGACTACATAAAGGTACAATTGCATGCATTTGACAAAATTCTCTAACTTTTGAGTCCGGCCCTTTCTTAATTCAATCTTATTGGTTTTTATTGAGTTATATGTCTATAACCAATGAATTTAATATTATATTGTTGTAAAGAATCTTGAATAATTCTTGATGCTAACTTAGGTTTCTTGTCTTGTGTATTGCTTTCCTGCTAAAGCTTAATGTTGATTTATATTTTGAGAGCTAATACTGAAGTTCTTGCTTTTCTAAGGACTCGTGGATGGGTATTGATGTGGGTTTTTGTTCCCTTGTCGGGTTTATCAAATCCCCAAATCCAAGGACGGGAATGCGGCTAAATATTTATATTTTTTAGGACCAAATGCAAATAACTCCCCTGAACTATCATTTTATTCTGGCAACCTACAATTTAGACCAAATTACCCCCTAACCGTCAGTTGGGCAATAACTAGAGTATGGCAATGTAGTCCTGTGCGATGCAATGGTGCATATTTTGTATGGTACAACTATTATGCCCCTTTATTGAGCAATATTTTACCAAAATATACCCAGATATGGAACTCTTTCAAATTTTATACGGTCCTCTCCATTAAACCAACAAAAAATTAGGGTGAAAAACCTAAATTAATTTCTTCCCCTTTTTGCCTTTTTGCTGCATATATTCATATATATAGGTGTCTGTAAACACCATCTTTCCAGCTAGAGAAAATAGAAGAGAGAAGCCGGAGTGACGAAGAGGACAGAAGAGGGAGAAGGGGAGGACACAACCAAAGCTGACATTGTTTTTTCTTCATCACTGCTAGCTCTACCCTTCTCTATCTTCTCTACATTTTCATCTTCTTCATGATCATGCCGCTCCTCATTTTTACATCGACACAACACAAGGCCGAATTTGGTTATTTTTCATAAAAATATTCTCTGATTACTGGTCCAATCAAATGGTGGATCTTTCTTGATAGCTTCCAATCAATCTTGAGCGGTGGACAATTTGATCAGCATATATGGATTTCTCATAAAGTCACTGATGCAAGCGACAAGGAGGCCTAAGTTAGTGATGTAGCAAGAGCTTTGACGGGAAGTTGTAGTGTAAGTTGCATTATATGTAGATGATGAAACAGAGGCAAAAGAGAATCGAGAAAGGAAGTGAGGAAGGAAAAAATATTGAGCAGTTCCCTCCAAAGTCTATGCCGATGTGGTACTATCAATTGGAGAGGTGAATTATGGCCGTGCAAAGAGAAGCCATATTGGTGATTGAGTGAAGGATGTTAGTGATGATTTGGAAGTGGATATGCTGACAAATACTCTAGAAGAATAATCGAGGGTTGGATCCTATTTGGCAGGGCAACATTGTGGGTCTTTGACACATTGGTTCTGTCACGACCAATTCCGTTGTGTACATATTGTCTACTTTGCACACTCTATGTACTCACGTTTTTCAAAACGTGTCTACATAGTTAGGAGATGCCCACACGTGTAAGGGCCAACAATCTCTTGGGATCCAGTGTCCTCGCTAGCCTGACCCTCATGGGCTTGTGCAGGCTCCCCCTTTTTCGGCTAGGGATTGGCTCTAATATCATCTGTCACGCCCCAATTTCAATTTCAATGACAACTAGTCCAACATTCTAACCCTTGGCGTGATTATAATTATCTTTCATACATGAACTCACTTAAACCACCGTTCAATTCAATATGTGAATGAATTAACAATAACTGAATAAAGTCAACTCTTACATTTACAAACTCAATGGTTTACAAATTATGATCAATAGTATTGAATACTATTAACAGGGAACACATGTTCATAATTACATTATTTATCGTAAACAAGTTCCTCTAACAAAAATAAAGGAAGTGTGACTAAAATAATCAAGATGATATAATCCACTGAAATGTTATACGAACAATTAATTAACCTCCCCATTATCGTTACTTATACGTGTGTGTGTTCCACTTCCACTTTCCAATTGCGAATTGCAAACGATACACTTCATTTAACTAAATTTGATCCTCAAATACTTCTTTGTAACCTAATAGGAATAATTAATTTATTTTATTTTTAACTTTCCCCCACGTTCTCAATTAAGTACTCAAAACCACTTTTTAGGGTAATAAATTTGCAAATGGACCTAAAGTCACTCTAAATAAATTTATTCCAGTACAATACGAAAATTTACTTCACATGATAATTTCTAGTAATTTTTGAAAATTTTCTAAGATTTATTTCTATTTCCCCTCATTTTTCATGCTTAAATTTATTTAAAATACTTTTAAATGTCAGATGGGCGCGCCACGCGCATGATGCCATGCGTGGGCTGTCTGACGCTACAATCATCCTCTTCTCCCTTTTAAACTTCCAGAGAACCGATCCTTAATTTTTCAGCCATGGGTAACCTTCTGCCAACTCTTTCACCTCATTCCATAATCAAACATCAGATTAACGATATGGTTAATAATCAATTCTTAATTCCCAATCTATTACCCCAAAAATCCAAGAATCATAATGATATTTATGGGACAATTGGGATCTTTCCTGTAGCAGTATATATATATATATATATGCTCATTAGTAAACACCATATTCAGTCTATCTGACTCATGGTTTAATTCTTCTTCTTAAACAATATCTAAATCATCAATTCCTCAGCAACGGATCGGTCATGGGTTCTAGTTCACGACTCATTGTAATCCTATTTTATTCCCAATGCAGCTCAATATATAAGCTACCAATTCTGAACACGTTCCATGTTTATCCATAGGGTCATGTTCCATGTTTATCCCTAGGGTTACATATATAGCATGCTCACATTTTCTCATAACAGTGAGTATATATGTATCTAACATGTATTTTATGTAAACCCATTAAATAGTAAAAATATTTATATATTGTTTTAGTATCCTCCAATACCTCAAATCCAGTTCTCTTTGTATATATACTTGGTTTCATTTTGGTATTGGATGTTCTTGATATTTGTGTGGAATAAAATTGTCCATTTGCATGAATTTTTCACAAGATAACACTAAGGGATTATGTTATGAATGACAAATTATTATGATAATTTTTAGAGAGTCAAATTAAATGTATATATACATGATATGTTTTATATATAACATGTTTTCAGTGTAAGTCCACAATCCATATTCAGCAACACTAATAGCACAGAGGGTAATTTTCTAATCCAAGTAACAACAGTAGATGAAGTAATGAACGTCATTAACTGGCAGTAAGTCTAATACTCCGTTTGGTAGGATGGAAGAAAATTGGATGGAAGAGAGAGAAGAAGAGATGAATGAGACATCCCTAAGGAAGAGATTATGTACTTCCCTCTTTTTGTTTGGTTGGATGGAGGAGAAGAGAATAAGATAATACCTTATTTTGTTTGTTAGGAGAGAATGAAATAGAAATGGCTAATTATAAGGAAAATTTTGTAATATAAAAACAGTTATAATAACATTGTCTTTCTTCCTTCGTGTCTTCTGTACATATTTGGAGGAAAGAAAATTTGTGAATGAGGAAGGATGACTCATCCATCCTTTTTTCTCTTCTCTCCTTGCCTTCTCTCTACCAAATGAAGGAAGTTTATTTCTTCTTTCCTGTCTTCCATCCACCCCTCTTCCTTTCTTCCTACCAAACGGAGCATAAGTTATTTCTAATCAACAGAGTTCTAATTGGGATAATCTAACATATATAACATTATAAATGCTACGGGAGACTATGGTGACTTTTGCATTTATTTTAAACTATTATACATTCAGCAAAAAGGTAAGGAGAGATTCACTTGCCTGAAAATTCCTGAAAAGAATCCCTTTGGCGTTTATCTATATATTTATTACTCTATTTATCCGTCAATTGCCGTTGGGAGTATTTTAATTTTTTTATTACTCTTTTCTTCTCAACTACCCATTTATATATATATATATATATATATAAATGTATGTATGTATAATACATATATTATATAAAAGTCTCTGAGAATTCTTAATTCTATGGAGGGTTTTATCCACCACAAACAAAGACCAAAACATGTGTTGGATTCAAAGCTGGTGTTAAAGAGTAACATTCTGGAGCTACAAAGATGGTTATTAAATCATTAGCAGAAAAAAAAAAAAAAACAAAAAAACAAAAAACAGAAAACAAACCTGCCTTTGAAAATTTTCATGAAAGGACATCAATATAATACATTAATTATATAAAATTCACGGATCCATATAATTAATTGGACGATACTTGCCTACTCACTGGTGAGTGGGGCATTTTTACTTACCACCGATGTGGTACAAAAATAAGGTGACAGGTGTTTCTCCAATTTAAATAAATGAAAATAAAAGTTTTAAAAGCGTATTTAGGTTAACCCAATGACAAACTAAATCCAAATTAAATCCTAATTCTCTGTTCCTCCCCCCCCCTCTCTCGCTCTCTCTCTCTCTCTCTCTCTCTCATGCTGTTATTATATCTATCTTTCACTTTAATCCTTTTCCCATACTGTGTTATATATCTATCTTCTCATCCCTAACTTCTACCCATCTTTTTCTATATTCTCTGCACTCAATGGACAGAAATGTACTTTGGACCGTGTAAGTACAGAGGGATGAAGGGCAAACTCAACAATACACTGTCTGCAACCACAAAATCTATTTTCTATTTTTTGAAACCTAGATCAGGCCAGAGTGCAAGACCCATTTGTTCTTTATATCTCCTTCTTATCTTACTTTCTCTCTCTAAAATCAAATAAAACCATTTGAAGATTAATGACCAGTGATTGCCCATATTAGCATTAATTCAGTGTTTTAGAAAGAGACAAAACTAAATGATTGATGAAGATATTTTCAAGAGATTTTGTATGATTGGTAATGCTATTTTTCGTGATGGACACTTCTGGATTTATAACCGTGGCAAAATTGCCCGGAAATGTGGAGGTGGTCGGAAATAATAAAAGTTTGGGTCTTTTGAGGTGGTTCTTCGTCTAGGGCTTGGGGAGGGGGAAGAGAATTACGGATTTAAATTTGGATCCGTATTGTTATTGTGTATAACCCGGTATCCTTTCAAATATTTTATTTAAATTGCAGAGACACGTGTCACCTCATTTTTATGCCACGTCGGTGGTAAGAACTTCCTACTCACTGGTGAGTAAGCAAGTATTGTCCTAATTAATTTATATAAAAGTCCCAATTGCCGTTGGGAGTGACTTATGTATAATTAATGTATTTTATATATATGGGTAGTTGGGAAGATAAGAGTTTCAAAAAATTTAAAATACTCCCAACAGCAATTGACGGATAAGTAGAGTTCTAATATATATATATAAAAAGAAATTCAAATTTTGAAGTGGGAAACGTGGTGTCTGAAATGCATGTTTGACACATTTAGAAGATTTTTATGTAGCATAGTTTGCTTTCTACTGATTGCCATTGGCTACTCACTATTTTCCCAATATTTCCCAACTAACTAACAATTTAAGTCTCCCATTGGCACTGTGTCATACTGAAAGTTCTGATTTGTTGTTTTGATCAAATTGTGTTAGTCATAAAATTTAAATGTTGATTATATTTATTTGGTATATAATATTGTGCACCCAATAGGCATATACTCATGCAAATTTTTTTCGTGTGAAGTCAATAAAAAATTATGAAGAATTGTGTATTATTTTCGGCAATGATCAAGGTCTAGTGACTTCTGATATTGGTGCCGAAGCTGATATTGCTTTGGTGTCTGACAACGAGGGTATGGAGACTGCAATTGTGTCTGTAACTCAGAATGATGACAAGCAGGCAAAAAATTTGAGATGGACAGAAGAAATGGATCGTTGCCTTGGTAAAGTTCTAGTTAAAGAAGTTCAAAAGGGGCATAAAGTGGATAATGTTATACAGACTGAGGCATACAACACAGCTGTTGCAGCGTTAAACAAAATGTTCAGGCCTGATATAACCAAAGACCATATTAAGAATCGGCTTAAAACATGGAAGAAACAGTACGTGATTTTGAAGGAACTCCTTTCTCATACTGGATTCAGATGGGATGAAACACAAAATAAGATGATTGGCGATGATTCAGACTGGAATGACTACATCAAGGTATGTAACTTGTTATGTTTCGTCTTTTTTTTTTTTTTTTAATAACTTTAAGAGTTTAAATACCAAAATAAAAATAAATTTGGCTCATTTTTTTATTTTTATTTCTTCATACTATCAACACACAACTTTATCATATAAATTATGCTGTTGTATACTTGATATTTTACAGGGAATAATTTCTAAGATTGTCATTTTTCCAATTAACCAACTAGGTTCCATCGATTGACTAATATTCTCTAATCTTTACTAATTAGTGATATTATGCATTTTATTGTGTACTATTTACCATAACAATGTTTCATTTACATTTCAAATTCATTAGATTCCGGATTTCCTGTGCAAAACATCACATAATTAAAATAGAGGTCATAGAATGCCTATAATTTAGTATAAAATCCTCTATGACTTGAGAAGTAATTGCAAAAGGGACAATACTTGGGTCCAACCTAAGTTGGTTGAAGTTCATCTAATCTGGCTACGTGGACAAGACACGTGTCAAAAAAAATAAAAATAAAATTAAGTTGGGTATTATCCAACTATTCGGGTTTGACCCGTTACTAAAACATTTTTAAAGGGACCAAAATATCCCTATCTTCTACCTCTTCATTCTCTCTCCAATCTGCGCCTCCTTCCTCCTCTGACCTGTAGCCGCAACTATGCTCAAAAGCCTAATCTTCATATATAGACACACACATACACACAGCTGTACGCACACAGGCAGGCATATATAGCACCGAGAGAAGAGAAGAACCCAGAATTTGTTCATACCCTAATTTTCTCTGGATTGAATTCAGAAACCCTATTTTTTTTTTAATTCAGGCTTTGTTCCATTCTCTGCAACATCAATAATTCCATCAAACACACTGAAGCCAATTTCGCACCCAAACACAACCAACACCAATTACCACCACTGCTCACCCACCAAACACAACCTCATCACCAATTATAAACAAGACCAAATTAATCCAAGATCGTACCCAAATCAACGTTCCTGTTCGCCCAAATCAGAGCTCACCTTCACCCAAATTAGAGCTCCTCTGCCAATTACAAACCCAAACACAACCATATCACTAATTACCGCCAATAACTCCCTCATTGAAGGGATACCCATCACCGCCGCGGCGGATAGCACCTTGGGTCAGCGACTTCATTGGGCCGGTGATGTCAACGGCTTTGATATGATTTTCGGTATACTCGACAAAAAACTCTACCGACTCACCTTCCACAAGACTGAAAAAGCCCCCATCTCGGATCGAGGACCTGTAGACCACGAGATCGTCGTTGCCAACACTCGGAGCGATGAACCCAAAACCAGTCACATGATTGAATCGCTTCACAGTTTGTTCATCCCTTGCCCTTACGGTTCTTCCCTCTCCTTCACCTTGCTTAGCCAACAGCCCTGGAGGGGTTTCCTTCACAACACACTCAGATTCCACTGAATTAGACAAGCCACCAGTAGAGAGAGAAAGAAGAGGGAGAAGATAAGGGATATTTTGGTCCCTTTAAAAATGTTAGTAACGGGTCAAACCCAAATAGTTGGGTAATACCCAACTTAATTTTAATTTTATTTTTGGACACGTGTCTTACATTGATTGGTCCACGTAATCAGGTTGGATGAATTTCATCCAACTGTGTCGGACCCAAGTATTGTCCTTGCAAAAGGGACAAGCCACGTGGGGAGCATTATCATTAACTTTTACCTTCCTACTTTCTGGTAGATCCATGTGATGACAATGGTACTGCTCAATTAGGTCAGCTGCTCTGCCTCTACAATATGGGATGGAACAGGATTTCCATAGTGAGTAGGGTTGGGAAAGGGATTGAAATTGTCAACATGATCAAGGTTTATGATAGATTAGAAGTTTGGTTGTACCACCTCACTCTATCCCAGTTAAAGTTGCAAATGAAATAAGCTGTTTGCGACAAACTTGGCCTGGCTTGGCAATGTGCTCAATTAAACTCGGTTCACTTAATGAACACTCTGCGACAAGCCCAATCCCATCTTTAAGGGTATTCTCACTAACAAGCTGAGCTTGAACAGAATGAGCTTGACTTGTCTAGGTTCATGAATATGGGCAAAACTCATCTTTTTCCTTGTCAGAGTTTTGCTCAACTCAATTTCTTACACGTCTATGTTTTGCAAAATGTTGGATATAATAAAAACGATTTTAATAAATTAAACTTGTGGTTTTCTCTTTCTTTATACTATCTCTGCCTCGCCTTTGAACTTCCTCTACCTTCACATCGTCTTCCAGTTCTTGTTTTTATGGAAAACACAAAAACATTTCTTTACTGTAATTTGCTTTTTACTTCTCTCATGCCATAACAACTTTAGATATATTTTTATTTCTTGTTCCATATACCATGACAAATTTGGATAAGAGCAAAAAATATTATCTCAGACAAGCTCACCAAGAAACTCTCCTTGTTGAGAAAGAAGTCATCAAAAGCGAAAAGGTAAGATGAGCAATTTGAGATATCTATTGGGAATAACCAACAGAACAATTAGGTTCTCTTTTTTCTTGTTTTCTACTTTTCGTTTCCTTCTTGTTTGATATAGTTTTAAAGTGTTAAAACATAAAATCTGAAATATGCATTTTTGATAATTAGTTTTGAAAAAAAAAAAAATTCATGTTTTCAAGAAACTCTAAAAGAAGATTTCCGTGGGTTACTGAGAACTTTGAAATTTCAATCTTGAGAACCCAAGTTTTGGAGTCATTCAATAAAACTTAATCTTAAAGATTGAAAGTGTCGGATTAGTAGCGTGATTAGTTCATGACATGGAAACTTCACAAAATTTGCACTCAATAATAGCTAATAATAACACTAAGTATCAAAAAGAATCTAACTAGTTCTCATACCCCCGGAATTTTATAAAATTAAAAGACATCAAAACCATTAAACTGTGCTATTTATCATTTTATAATAATTTATTCTATTACCAAAAATGAAATCAATCCTTCCTGTCAACATAGCACAATTTCATAAATGCCATATTACTTGGTCTGTAAGTCCAATCACCAATATTTGTAATTTTGTACCTTTAATGTTCCAGGCATTATTGGATAGAGTTTGATTGGCTTCAATTGCATATCACTTCATGGAGGGCAATGAATTTTCAAGATGCAAAAATGCTCTACTAGCAGTAGCAGCTCATAAAAATAGAACAGGATCAGAGTATAATATTGAGTCATTAGCACAAGTATTTTCAAGGGATCTCATGAAGTGATTCTAATAGAAAATGGTTCTTTAGATATATAGATATATGGATATTCAAACCAAGAACACAAAAAATAATTACTTACATAGAAGAGCTTTACACATCTGTGCCCTAGATCTTAATAGATCCGAACAAATCTGAAGGCTAAACAGACAGAAGGATGGGGAACGAGAGAGTGGCACTTGTGTAACGTCTTCACCAGCATTTGGTATCATCTTTAAAAATTATGTCAAAATATGACAGCATTTTTGCATTCATATCCAAATATTGCTGGAAAGACAATAAATATTTAGTACTAGCCTGCGGCGCATGCCATCAAGAACTAGCCCCTCTTTTTTTCTCATTCTTGTACTTTGATTCTTTTTATACCATTATGGTTATTGTTTGCAAAGTAGCGCAATTCTTTTATTTAAAAGCATATGTATTTGTAGTTAGGACACTGGATTAAGTTGAATGAGAAAATGAGATTCATGAAGCAGACTTGAAAAATCTTGGACAAGGTTTTGTTGGTAGTTACATATATCCCATGAGAGTAACTTTTATATTTTCTTGTCGAGTTGTGCTTGTGCATATTGCACTGCTATAAAAAATAAAAAATAAAATAAAGGAGGAAAAATAGTAAGGTAACAACAGTCCGTTTGATATCATTTTTTTGGTTCACTTGGTAAAATGATCCTTTGACTCAATCAATTAGACTTCTGGAATTTAAGTTTGAAATTTAAATTCTAAAATTTGAATGCATGTCAAATATTACTTAAACAAAGACAAAAACAAAAAAATGGAAGAAGAAGAAGAAGAAGAAAGAAAAGAAAAGAAAAACAGCAGCGGTTCGGTTGAATATTGCACAAATTTAGTAATGTTTGACTCATAAAATTAAGGTTTTTTGAATGATGGAGCTCTCAATGGATGAATTCATCGTTCATCATTTTTATTTTATATGTTATTTATTCGTTTGTTGTTGTATACACTCTTTTCTAAATCTGAGATTTGAAGACACAATTTTCCAAAAAAGAATCAAGTTTAGATTCAATATATTTCTTTCCTCAATTTGAGTCTGATTATTCGACATTTTAAATTGGAAGCTCTTTATACTCTAAAGAAATCGTATTTTCATCTCAGACACACCATGAGGCCCATCTTTTTCGAGGAAGGGTTGTTGAGAACTATGATCATTTGTGCATTATCTTTGGCAACCATTATGCAAATGCTAGCAATTCAAGAACTGCTGATGATGTAGTCCACACCTTGGCCTGTGATTCTGAGGGTGTGGAAGCTATTAAGGGCCCGTTTGGCATGCGTTTTAATTTAGGCGTTTTGTTTTTTGCTAAAACAGAAATAGCGTTTTTACTATTAGAGTGTTTTGGCAAAAATCGGAAGCACGTTTGGGAACGATGTTTTGCTGTAGAAATGTCGGAAACAAAAATATGCAAAACACGTTTGGTAAGTCATGCGTTTCAAGAATTTTAAAAACAAAACATGTTTGGTAACTCCAACTGTTGTAAACAAAATAAAACAGAAATAAAAAATATGTTTGGTTATCATTGTTTTTAATTTATTTTTATAAATTTTAAATTTATTTATAAATTTATTTCTATATAAATAGTCTATATATTTTTAATAAATTTATTGAAATTTGAACACACAAACATATATATATATATATAACCAAAGTGTAATTACAGAAGCAACTGCTTTAGCGAAAATGTAGAATGTTAGTTCTAATAATTGAACAAATAATTTCAACCATTTTGCATGTTATCTTGATCTGAAACTGCACTTCAAGTTATTTGAAATTTCTTAGTATAGTTTGTTCCTTTGGTGATGATTGTCCATAGGTTTGTATTTCATTCATTTTGCTCATTTTTCGCATTAGCGAAAGAAGAAAAAAAAATACAACACAGCTCTGATAATAATTTTCGACTCTTGTAAGTCTGCACTGGTGGGAATTTAACTCCAAAATACAGATTTTTGCCTTCTCTTTTGTAAAAAAATGTAAACCCCCACCAAATTATATATATATTAATTTTTGCAATAACCTATTTACAAGTTATTTGCAATAACTTACTTCAAATTTATTATCATTATACCTGTATAGTCCAATTCAATATTAAAAATAAATAATCTCTAGTCACATTTTATTATACTACATGAGAGTCAACATTTGTAAAAAAATTAGCAATAACCTATTTACAAGTTCTTTGCAATAACCTACTTCAATTTTATTATCATTATACCTGTATAGTCCAACTCAATATTAAAAATAAATAATCTCTAGTCACATTTTATTATACTACATGAGAGTCAACATTTGTAAAAAAAATTTGCAATAACCTATTTACAAGTTATTTGCAATAACCTGCTTCATTTTGATTATCCTGATACCTGTATAGTCCAACACAACATTAAAATAAAAACAAACTCAATTGAAAGCATAATTGAAATAGAGTGTATAACATTTACAAGTCCTGAAATATTCAACCAACAAATTAAACACGTTTAAGTTGTACATAAAATGTTTGGAACAAAGCATTAACAATACGTAGTTGTCACTAAAAATTAATAAGAAGTTCATAAAGTGGATAACAATGGCAACGACACATCATCTTCATAACAGCACATGTGGCCTTCAAGAGAGCATCAACACACTTCATATCTGCACTAATAGCATTTAAGTTGAATTATATATCTGCAAAAAATATTTATATTACATATATATATTGCAAGCTCACAATAGCAACAAGTATATTACATATAAAAGAAAAAATATACCATCACCTTCAGAAGGATCAAGAATGCTGAAGAGAATTCCAAATCTGATCAGCAATAGTATTACGCAATTGATCCATTTCTCGAAGCTGAGCCGAAGGCACATGCTCAGCAATCTCATCATCTTCACCATCACTTTGAGGATGATCATTACCATCAAATATGTCATCAGGCTGATGCTGATTTTTGATAAAATTATGTAATGTGCAACAAGCCATTACAATCAATACTTGTGTTGAAAACTTATAAGGAGACATTGCCCTCAAAATAGCGAATCTCATCTTCAATAACCCAAAGCATCGCTCAATTATATTTCTCAAAGATGAATGCCTATGATTGAACACTTCCTCCCGACCACGAGGTTGTCTAGTCCTACGGTATTCCTGAAAGTGATAAGTATGACCTCGAAATGGGGCCAAATAACTAGGCTTATTGGCATACTCTGAGTCCACCAAATAATACTTACCTGCCATGTTTAGAATACATAAATATATATACAGTATGATAAACTAACCATATATAAAGTGAATTTATAAAAAAATATTACCTGCTGGTGGAGCTGGAAAGTTCATTGCCTCATTTTCAGTACACTCATTTAGGATTCTCGAATCATTAGCTGAGCCTTCCCACCCAGCTAGCACATATGTGAACCTCATGTCAAAGTCACATACAGCCATTACATTTTGTGTGGTATAACCCTTTCTACCACGAAATGGAAGTTGTGTACTTGCTGGCAGAGTTGCAGGAATGTGGGTTCCATCTATAGCTCCCACACAATGCCTGAAGTAAGGGTAAAACCTAGAAGACTCTCTAATCTTATTCGGAATCACAGAAAAATTAGGAGGGGTAATGATATGGGTGCCCAACTGACATACTGCATGCAACACGGCATGGAAGTGTCTAGAAATTGTTTCAGTGGAGTGTTGAAATCTCTCTGCTAAAACACGATTCCTTTGATTATGAGATAAAGTGAGCAAAAAGATTGCCACTTGTTCATAAACAGTTAAAAATTTAGAATCCTTCAGCCCTATACCTTTCAGGGTACTACACAATATTCTAAAAACTTCAGGGTACATCCTAAAATTTTCATAGCATCTTTCTCTATGGCCGTTTAAAATCTCCATAACATATGTTTCCCCTTGTAAAATGGAATCCCTACAACGCTTCTTTTGATAGAAGTTCTGCTCTTCTAAAAGAGCAGCAAATATTAAGACACTCTCATTATCCTCCTCATCGTCAGATAATTGAATTATTCTTCTTATATTGTTCCACACATCCATTGCCCTATTTAAAGATTTAATACAAGCAAAGCATTTAAATTAATAAGCAAATCAATTAAATAATAAACAAAGCATTTAAATTAATAAGCAAATCAATTAAATAATAAACAAAACATTTAAATAATAAAACAAACATTTAAATAATGGTATTAAAGTATTTGAGTACTAACAGGCATCCAAGAAATAAAAGTATTTAAGTTATTATAGCCATCCAAATGTGAGATAATAAAAGTATTTAAGTTATTACAGCAATCCAGATGTGAGATAATAAAAATATTTCAGTTATTACATTAATCCAAATGTGAGATAATAAAAGTATTTAAGTTATTACAGTTATCCAAATGTGAGATAATAAAAATATTTAAGTTATTACAGTCATCCAAATGTGAGATAATAAAAGTATTTAAGTTATTACAGTCATCCAAATGTGAGATAGTAATAAGTTAAACGATGACACAAAACACAATCATCCATAAAGAAAAACTCAAACATTCAGTGCCCAACCAATTCTTACATCCTCAGGTGCCGAAAGAAAAAATTTCTGCCACTTCTCAGAATCATGTAATAACTTCGATACCTTAGCGAATTGGGTCATCTCAATTCCAGGTATTTTTTGTAAAAGGAGCATGGAGGCGTCAAACATTTCATAATCTCTATCCTTTTTTGAGGGAGAGAGAACTTCATCATCTCCTTTCTCACATGAAGATACACGAGTAGAAGTAGAATATGCTTTAGCTCCTTTCTCTATTGCAGCTTCCATTCTCTCAGCTCTCCTCTCAGAATTCTCATTCATGTTTGACAAAAGTGCAGCTATACCAGGAGATAAAGCATCTCTTTTGGCTTTCTTACCTTTACGTAAAGGTGGGGGACTGACCTCACAACCCTCTTCCTCATCATCGTCATCATTGGGAGTGGGCAAAATGATTGTGGGTGGTGCTGTAGTGGATGGGTGGGCATGCTGTGGCGACCTTGTGGGCGGGTGTGTGTGAGCGTGTGCAGGGGGCACCAGTAGGCTACCACACTGGGAGAGCTACAGGTGCACAATCCCACATCGTCTGGGTGTGGATGGGGCAAGTGTTATATGTAGATTTAATACCCTTCTATGACACAACGCGTTTTAAAGCCATGATGGCCGTGAACCCATCAGAACTCTGTAGTTAAGCGTGCTTAACTTGGAGTAGTACCAGGATGGGTGACCCCCTGGGAAGTCTCTGGTTTGGGTGAGCCAAAAGCGGACAATATTGTGTCTGGCCAGGGTGAGGGTTGTTACAAATGGTATCAGAGCCTGACCCAGCCGGAAGTGTGGCCAACGAGGACGTTGGGCCCTAAAGGGGGGGTGATTGTGGCGACCTTGTGGGCGGGTGTGTGTGAGCGTGTGCAGGGGGCACCAGTAGGCTACCACACTGGGCGAGCTACAGGTGCACAATCCCACATCGTCTGGGTGTGGATGGGGCAAGTGCTATATGTAGATTCAATACCCTTCTATGACACAACGCGTTTTAAAGCCATGATGGCCGTGAACCCATCAGAACTCTGTAGTTAAGCGTGCTTAACTTGGAGTAGTACCAGGATGGGTGACCCCCTAGGAAGTCTCTGGTTTGGGTGAGCCAAAAGCGGACAATATTGTGTCTGCCAGGGTGAGGGTCGTTACACATGCATCCCTCTTGCATATGTGCCCCCAAATATAGTCAACATCTTGTCAAAATGCTTACATCCATACTTTTTATACTTATTTGCATTCGTAACAACCTACAAATTTTGTTACAATATTAACCACATAACCAATAATATACAAGATTTTATTATATATTTATGACTAATAATTAAATTACTAACCTTGCACAACCTGTCCCATCTCTCTTCCTCAACTATAACCATGCCCGTCTCATGGTTATATCACACGCCAGTCTCCGATAATAATTTCTTAAACTCAGTATAAATTTTCCTTAAACCATTAAACTTATTCCGAAGTTGGGTTAAACCAAATTTTCTCCCCGTGTGAACATTCATTTGTTTGACTAAATTATTCCAACTATTTTTACTAAATGTTGTGCCACTACGATTATTAGCCTTAACTTCTTCCACCATAATATTCACGAATTTTTCAATGAGTGACTCATCCCATAACAATTTTCCATCGTTCGTAACTTCAGTCACTTCTTCAATTGTGAGAGAATCACTGCATTGTTCCACATTCTCAACATTCATATCCATCTAACATATTAATAACAACACAATAATTAATAACAAAAAAAAAATTAATAGTACACATACGTGAGAGGAGAAAGGAAGCACTCTTACTCACAAAATTTCACTAATAATTTTGGGTGAGATTTGTCCAAACTCAAAGGAGTTTCAATGATATTGTAATCCAAACTTAGGGGTGTATGTGAAATTCGCCCTAAAATGTTAGTACTTTGA